AAAAAAAAAAAAAAAAAAAAAAAAAAGCTCAGTGACAAAACTCAAGGACCAGCTAACTTCCACACATCATGTCTTGCATTCTGGTCATCTATGGCTCATTGTATCCCTCTGAGGGAGCTTCCAATTCCAACCAAGACGGAGCAGTAGGGACCAGATTTACCTTCTTGCACGAAAAACAACTTGCATCAGTTGGCATCCACTTGCCTCACACTCTGTGCAATAGTGGCTTCCAGAATGCACACCTCAGGCACAAGGACCAGGAGCCTGGAGGAGCGGATGAGGTGAGCCCCATGGTGGTCCTTGGTTACTTTGACAGTTTCCAGGCCACAGCGCAGAATGCAGGCTGAGCTAAAGAGATGGAGCAGAGGGGAGGCCAAGGCAGCTGGAGTTTGCAGTACAGAGCTCTGGGGGGAAGAGAGCCAGAGGAAGAGAATGTAGAAATCTCCGAGTCTCCATCTAGTACTCAGAAGCACTGATGCACGAGTGTGAGAACGGCCAAAGGGTTCGAGGGAAGACTGCCCGGAGTCGCACCAAGCCGGGAACAGCGTGGGTTCCCACCAGCCAGCCTGGAAAACCTCACAGCCCAGGAACAGTGGGCAGAGTCTGAGTCTTATGTCTCAGCAGGAGGGAAAAACTGGCCCTAGGCTAAATGCTGCAGTGGTCTTGCCTAACCACCTGAAAGAGAAAATGCAAATTATCTCCAAGTCCTTTAAACATATTGCAGAGTAAAGTTTAAGAATATTGGCAGGCATGATGGTCTGAAATGAGTAACAGCAGAGCCGGAAGAACGGGGCCTTTTTGAAATACTTAAGAGGCAGAATGGTCAAGACAGCTGATGGCCCAGACATGTGGGGTGAACAGAAGCTGCCCAGGTGAGACAAGCAAGGCTGGTCCTCCCCCGGAGGGGAGGTCAAAGGGCAACAACTCTCTCCTTAGGTGGAACCAGTGACGGGCAGGAGAATCTGAGCAGCAAGTGCAGTTCAGGAGGCAACAGACACGAAATAGACATGTGCATCATGCAGGGCCCTGAGCCCAGGAGGAGCAGACGCTGGGGAACAGGAAGCCTGGGGCAGCTGGCCTCTGGGGAGAGTAAGCCGGAACAAGGCAACACGGAGGTGCCGGGCAAGGGCAGGAGACAAGTTCTACTGGGAAGCAGGAGGCTGATGACTACATTTGGACTTTAAGGTGTCAGTCGGATCAACTGTGGCAACTGCATGGGAGCGGGCAGGAGGGGGCCTGGCAGACATGCAGATAACCAGTGAAAAGGCTTCGGTCATCACAAAAGATGACAGCTTGCGTGCAATGAGTGGAAAGAAAAGAACAAGCAAGGAACACAAGATACCAGGCCTGGATGTGGAAAGGCTGGGGAAAGAGACAGAGGTGACCAGCATAGCTCTCGGGTTTGTTCCAGGAGTAAATGCCATTTATTGGGGTAGAGAAGGTTAGCACAGGGCAGAGTCGGCAGGGGAGAGCTCCACTTCAGACAAGAGGTTTGAGGTTGTAGGTAAGCAAAGAGAGGAGCCTTGGCGCTCGGGGGAGACTGGGATAGATACACCAAGCACACACGGGGTATTTTCAGCACAGTAGGTAAGAGCACACAGGGAGAGATGGCGGAGCGTGAAAACTACATGTAAGACTGAGCGTTTAGACTCTGGTGTGCATGCAACAGGAAAGGCTACAGCCAGAGCAAGGTGTGAAGAAGAGCAAAATTTTCAGCGGCGCAGCAGAGGTGAGAGAGGATGCAACCAAGATGGGGCGGAGATGTCGCTGATGGAGGAACCTGCTAACACACACAGGCCTGGCCTCCAACACAAGGGAAGCCACAGACTCGGGAAGCAGGAAGTCTGTGAGAAGCAGCAGCAACATGAGGGCTTTCCTGGTAGATCCTGCACACTCTGCCAGGGAGGAAGTGCAGAACCCAAGAGGCAGGCGTGGGGAGAAGGGTGTTAGTCTTAAACCTAAGGGTAGCCGGGAGCAGTGGTGCACACCCATAATCCCAGCACTCGGGAGGCCGAGGCAGGAGGATTGCCTTGAGTTCGAGACCAGCCTGGGCTACAAAGTGAGCTCCAGGCCAGCCTGAACTACATAGTGAGACCCTGTCCCAAAAAGACAAAAATCAATAAATAAATAATAAAACCTGAAGGTGTAACTAAGATTCCACCTCAGTCCAGACAGAATAGCTACTATCAAGAAATCATTCAAGAACAAATGTTGGCAGGGCTGTGGGGAAAAAGAAACACTTCTCCACTGTCGGTGGGAGTGTAGACTGGT